AACCACAATGTTTGAACAAAATATCGCCTTCAATTTGTATGAGCAAACGCTTTTCATACTCATAGTTGCAAAAAACAACAAAAACTTCATCATCAGGATGCATAGTTAGCGTTTTCTGCCTATCGGGTCGAAGGTAATAATTGTAAAAATATTTATAATTACATCTAGAACATTTCTTTAAAAATATTGTTCCTTTTTTTAATCTTTCACCTGAACAAAAAATAGTAACGTTATGATGAGGAGTTGGATTATTCAGACTGTTTTTTGAGCAATTAGGACTTACACATTGAATCAGTAAAAGTATAAAGCAATTCAGAAGAGACGATGAACAATTCCCATATTGAGTAGAGCAATAACTATTTATTTCGTTTTCGATTTCCTTAGAAGATTTGCCTTCTATATTATCTTTATATTTAGGTAAAATCAGTTCTCAATTTTCGAGACAAATTCATATTTGTTCAGGTAAAAATTTCGTTTTAAAAATTCGATTTAATATAGATGTGACATGATGAATATGACGGGGGACAAACTTGTTTATTCCAAGATTAAGTTGTTGAAGGGTACTTGCCATATCAATTGAGGTAAGTGGATGTGAAAGACTTTTTAAATCTTTATTTAATGAACAAGCCATATATAAAATGATAAACCTTGTTCTTCTTATTTTTTTCAATCTCTTATCTGAAACTGAGACAACGAATATTATTTGAAAAACTATGATGAGCTCAATGCTTTTTCTGCTTCTTTTTTTAGTTATTTCATTTGTTTAAAGAACATAGATTGGTGTTTGTACAGGGTTGGAAATAATATTATTCAAGGGGGATACTGTTATAATTTCAAATAGAAGACATAATGAATTTTATATGAGATGAAAGCTCGTCAAAGAAACGGAGATCTTTTTATTAAAATGACAGCGCTAATTTCTCTTCTCAATACTAAAGTAGTTACCTTCATGGATCAATGTGAAAGAAAAGATATACCAAGGTTATCTCACATAAAAAAATAAGGTTGTCTTGTTTTTCTTAACATGCTTTATCATCTTCTATAATTGATTTGTTATGTCTTCAAACGCAATATCTTCTCATAAGATGCGAACTATTATGCAAAAGGCTGCCATGTATTCGATGAATGTAACTGAAACTTTTGATGAAAAGATTTGTGGCCTGATAGAAGTAAATATGTCCATTCTTAAATGACTTTAACAATTTAAATATTTTTCATCTGATCAAAGTTTTTATTTGTTCAAATATATGGGCGTGACCAGTCGTATTGGTACCCCATGATATAGAATAGGAAATGATATTATTTCAGGAAGGAGTATATAATGAGTTTTATACCAAATGAAAGCTCGTCAAAAATGGGATTTATTGATACTAAATAGTAAGGATTTTGTAAAATTTGTAATGCCGAACTTAAAAAACTGAGAAATTTTCTACATTAAAAAATGTTA